CACCCCTGAGTACGGCACACACCATGGATTGGTCCTTTCTACACCACCCTGTGAGGTCATGTGCACAGGCACATCTGCCTCCTCTCTAGATAGGCCTTGTGCCTGTGTTCCTGGAGCTCAGGCCTGAGACTGGGACAAAACAATGGGTGCCTCATTGTAGTGTGTAGAATTAATGGATGAGTGCACTGCCACCTGGCCAAAGGAAGTCACCTGCAGGTAACAAGCAAAGGCAGGCTGGCTGTGGCCAAAGGCCTCTGCTCAGGGCCTGGGCACCAGTGGCAGAGGAGAGCCCCCCCCAACTTAATCCAGTGCTCTAGCCCGGGCTTGGTGTTCTTGGGTAGAGCCACCCATCACATGTCAGAAGGTTGCCGCTGCTGGGATGATGTTACAGTCTATTTTGAGGGTCACACTGGAGCATCTGTCAGCCTGGCCAGCCACACCCTCCATGTGTCATCACTAAGAGCCAGGGACACCCATGGGTCCAAGAACTCTGCCTGAGCAAGTCATTTCCCCCAAGGACCCTCAGCTTCAGGGCCTTTCCAGCTTCCTAGCAAGATCCACCCAGATGGCCCTTATCTCCTGGCACCACTGGCAGGGCTCTGATGTCTCCTCACCTCACCAAACCTGCTCCTGGGGTTCCCAGCTCTGATGACTCGGCAAAATGCAGCTGAAGCCCATCAGTCTCTGCCAAGCTCTTAGCTCAAATATAGCCCCTCCTTCTCCAGCCCTCTCTTATATTTGGAGAGTGCCCAGAAAGCCCAGCACCCTGACATCAAGCTAGTTACCGACCAGACTCATTTTAGGTCCAACAGGTCTCACCTACTGGGAGATTCCCACTCATCCCTCAAAAGTTTGCCCATGCTCTGCCTCCCCTTACAGCGAGCCTTTTAGTCCACTCTCTACTGAGTAGGCCACAGCTCTCTTAGGACAAGGCTGGCCTGTGCTGGCTTTACCTTTGTTCTCCCTACATCTAGCATGGGCCTGGCACATAGTAGGTATGAATAAATACTCTATGAACCCTTGAAATGAAACCTTTCTAATTAGACCAGCTTAGTGTGTTCTTCTACAAAAGACATCATCAGAACAAAGGCCTTTCTGGAAAACAATGACACTGACAACTGGGTTCATAAACACCTTTTACGAAGGAGGCCCATACTCAAGTCTACTGAAAAACAAGTTTACAGATTTAATGGAATGGTAAGTCAATCAAGCCCAGTCCAGAGCACACCACATTTCTCTGTCCCCACTCAGCACCTTTCAGCTCCGTCCCCTAAGAACACTGTGATCCCCTAAGAATCCAACTGGACATTCCTTCACTCTATCCAGGGAAGGAATGGCATGGGGAAAGGTAGCAGCACATGGACACGCATGTCTTGGATCAGGCGAGGGCATCTGACAAGTTAGGCTACTCCATCACACACCCCAAACCCTGCACCAGGGCAGGTCACCAAACAACCCAGGGACTCAGGGCTCACCCAGAAAACAGGCATCTCATCATCAAAGTGGCTCCAGCCACTTTCCAAAGATGCTGTGAGGATCATACTAGATAATACAAGAAAGCTATACAACTGGTTAACACCTGGGTGATGGAACAAACCGGGGTCAGAAACACACCTCCAACATTGACTGGCAATAGGAAACAAGCTGATCACTGTGTGCCCTATAACTGCCCTTGGCCTCCTCAAAACCACACCTGGCCAATACCAACATCTGGCAACATTCTAGCCATAAGAGGTTTTCAGGGATTCCATAAAGTGGCCATGAGAGAACATTCATATACTTGCCATCCGACAGTGGTCACCCAAAGCAGGCCACCACAGGTATATATGACCTGGGACCTTTTTAAAACTGAGGTTTCCAAGTCAGCTTAACACTTATATTTACCACACGTAAAAATGCTGGGAATAGAAGCTATGAGAAGATGCCCAACTTTCTTTAGATTTGCAGGCAACACCTACAGTAAGGGAATCTAACAAGACACAGGGTCTTTTCCAGCAAGATCCACTTACAACTGAAATGTTAAAAGCCAGTTGAAAGAATTCAGGTCTCTACATTTAAACACTCCCCTTCCGGAAAGTTGTTCTCTTCTCTCACTAGCTCAGCTGTTATCTATGATGAAAACAATCCATTTTCCTTCCTACAAGTTTAAGAAACGACCCTCAGTTTCTTTGGCAATAAGGGACTCCAGCACCAACATTTCAGTCTACACTGTAACTATTTTTGCATTGTTCGTTTTAAGAGGCCATTCTCATTCACACTAATTCAAGCACATTAAATATATGTGCTTTTATCAGAGAGTTGAAAGGGAAATGAGAAGTTTTAAAGGCCTCCAATAATATGAGTTTCCTATCTGTAAATACACTAGATGGAGATAAAGGAGAAAGGTACAATAGCTTGCCATGATCAGAATTTCAGAATCACAGAATTCTAGGGTTAAAGGGAGCTTAAGATGCTGGTCTAGCTCCCCAGAGCACACAAGAGGAGACTGAAGCCCCACAATACAACTACGACCACACAGCCTTCCCAGGCAGGGATATTACATCACTGAGGAAGCAGGCAAAGCTCTGACTCTGGCAGTCCTGTCCCCAACATGGCCCCTTGGCTGGGCATTCTGCACGCACCCCAAGGGAGACAGTCCCTAGAAGAGAGGAAATATTAGAAATGCTCAATAACACATACTCAGGGTTAACACGAAGGTCACTGGTGGGGTCGGCAAATGTCCGACACCAGACCTAAGGTCTGATGAGGAAAGCCTTTCCAAGGCAGTTGCAATCATGTTATTTCATAACTTAAACACCTGCTCTGTCACAATCACTGGAAAAAAGGGAGAATGGGAGAAAAAGAAGAAAAATGAAAAATCTCCCCACTGATTTCCTGTGTCTGCTTAGATCACCCTAAAACAGGGAGCCTCCCTAATGCTGACTTTAATGAGGACCTCCTACAGCTGGTCCAACTGGTGTTCAAGTCCCCGGACTAAAAAACAAGTTTATGAGCAGCAAGGTCAACTGATTCTGACCATGTGCACACTGTTTACCCTGAGATGACACGCCAGTGGCTGCCACAGCTTTGATGAATACTGCGAAGATTCTACTAACCCTTTGAAGCCTACTGGAGCCTCTACATGACTAAATGCAATAAAAAGGAACCCTGAATGCAGCAAGAATGTGAAAGGAGGGAAGTCACAAACACCACACGACAGTGGTGGGGGAAACCCCATTCTGGATGCTGAATTGTTAATGTAAACTTGTTATTCATTTCCCTGACCTATAAGGTATCTCATTACATCACCACTAACGAGAAGTCCCCTCCTCTATCCCTAATGCACCTACTTGCCATCAAGAGTCGCTGCTGAGGCCAGGCCATGCCCACAGTCAGGTAACAAAGGCAGCCCACCAGTCAACACTCTGCAGCCCAGACCCATTCAGCTCAGCAGCTCACATCAGTCACAAGTGTCCGCCAGGAGACCTTGAACTCTGACCACAGGGAACAGCTCGGTGTTGGGAGGGGAAGGTGGTAACAAAGAGCTTACCCATCTCTTCCTTTGCTGACAATCTTCACTTCAAAGTAATAAATGCCACAAGCAGCAGGTATGGGGTGGGTCGCGCGCACTGAGGCCGCATCTTTGTGATTTTTGCCATGACCTAATAGGAGAGAGCAAGGAAGAAATTTCATCAGAAAGAAATGCAAAGTGAAGCCTCATTCTTCTCTGCTCCATGGCAACTTCACCCCTCTAGGGCCAGAGGAAGCCCTTACATAGTCCCAGGAATAATTAGACAACTGAGTAAACACATAAAACTCCCCCCTTTAGCTCACCTCCTCCTGAGAACAGCAGCCCTGCCTGAGACACTGTCTCCCATACAAACCAAATGAAGGTACAGGCAATGTGGGTGCGTGTGAGAGATTCCCCAGGGCTGCTGGCAGTCTCTCCAGAATACAGGCAACCCACCTGGGAGAGCAGGGGAGGAGGAGGCAGCCCTGGAAGACCCCCACACACTTTAGCACAGAACCCCAGGCCCAGTATGGGACGTCCCGCAGGTGAGCAAGCTCATGGGCCTCCGGCTAATGGAGGGGATGTACCCACCCCTTTCTTCAGACACTCCTGAAACTAAGCAGTAGTGAAGGGCTCAGCTGGAGTTGGAGCTATCCCAGGACAAGAAGGAAGGCCCTTGGGTGGAAGGTCCAGCCCAGCACTGGGTTTGGACACCTGTTGCAGTTCTCTTGACATCGGGTGTCTCAGGGCAGAGGAGACCAGGCAGTCGATCCTCGGCCTGGTCAGCCACACTACCCTGGAAACCCCGCAGGGGCCAAGGCCTAACCCAGAGCACTCGGGCCGGGGAAAGGACGTGATGGGGCAGGGGCCAGGCAGTACAGCCGCCCCGAAGATGCTCTGGCCTTTTCCCCCCGCGGGAAACACAGGCCGATACCTTTGTAGTGGACGCGGAGGTTGCCCTGGGAGAGGCCGATGTAGTTGTACTTGTCCTTGGGGCTCCAGGAGCGCGGCAGCGGCGTCTCCTGCTGGTTGACCGCAGGGTATAGGCGCTGCAGACGCCGGCTCAGCTCCTGCTCCCCCGGGGACGGCAGCCCACCCCCAGCGCCCCCGCCGGAGGAGTCTCCAGCCTGCGGGTTCCCAACTCCCGAGTCCCCCGCCGCCGCCGCCGCCGCCATCTTGGAGGGAGCTGCTATTGTGTCACTGGGGGCGGGGAGGAACGGGACCAGATCCGCCCAGCTCAGCCAATGGCCGGTGAGCCAACGGGGCCCGCAGGGAAACCGAGTCCGAGTCCGGCACCTCTCTTTGGACACTGCCACGCCTCGCCACATATCGGACTCCATATCCCACAATGCAGAGCTCTCCAGAGGCGGACCAACTAGGGCTGGTGAGGAACTTTGGGATATGTAGTACAAACCTGCTCAGCCATACGCCTGTGCAGCCGAGACTTCGGGACACCGAAAACTACAATTCCCGATGGCAACGCTGCTCCGGCCTATCAGTTCATCTCCCTCCCCTACGGCCGCTGTTTATCCTCCTGCTTCAGTTCTGGTAGCTAGGGTCAAACCCGCTGTAGTGACTGACTTTGAGGGGACCCTGCTCCCGGGTCTGAGTCCACCTTTGCTACTCGGCCTTCCTCCCAGCCCACGGGCACTGAGCTCAGGGGCGTGGCGCAGGCCTGACCCCGCCCCCGCCGTAGGGCTGCTGGGGCCTGGTCGCCATAGCGACGGACTGTACACTACAGCAGCTTCCCAGGCCGCGGTTGCTGGCTACCCGACTGCGGAAGGGTCATGGCCTCCCCGAAACCGCGGGGGTCCAGCTTCGCTACCTCGTCGAGGTAGGCGCTGGCCGGGCTGAGGGCGGAGAGAAGGGCTCGAGTACTTCCAGAAAGAGAAATGGTACCTGATCCGGACCTTTGCACCTCCTGCCTCTGTCCATTGGTCTGGGGCTCCAGCCCCACAGGATCGGTGATGCAGAAACAGTTAGAATCAGGGGCTGATTTAGCCCAGAGACCACGTTAAGTGGTAGCAAAAGAGCAGCCGCACTTTATCATTAGTAACAGCCAGCTTATTTGTATTGGGCGTATGTTATGTGCCAAGCGCTTTATATACCCACATTTAACCCTCACGACCACTCTATGAGGTAGTAATATCACCATTTTACAAATGAAGAAATAGAAACCTGGAGAGATCACGTGTTTTACAGGTGTTTATAAGTGGTGGAGCTAGGATTTGAACCCAGCCGTGTGAGACTCCTGAACCTGAGCTCTTAGCCGCAGGGATAAACTGCCCCTTCATCCAATGGTTTATGACAAAGATGTTTGTCCAGTTGCTGGCTGATTCTAAGCAGCCCAGGCACATCCCACGGCCTCAGGGTTGCTCCTGCCTGTATTCAGGAGTGCAGCCTCAAGGCACTGCAAAATATGACAACAAGCTCCATTAGCGAGGGGAGCCACAAAGTATACATATTAAAACAAAAATTTTGACTTAATACCTTTCTAGCTTTGAGAATTCAGAGAAGGCCCTTAAATTCCAGACCTCTGCTTCCAAATCTCAAACATAGGAATGATACAGCCCACCTCACAAACATTGCTGGGAAAATTTAGGCAGAATATGTGAAGCTCCATCACAGCCCTTGCATATAATAGGCATTCAGTAAGTGTTTAATGAATGTAGTTTCTCCCTTCTACTCATTCCCATGCAAAAAAACTAATCTCACCTAAACTCTAATCCTTCAGGGTCTGCTGCCTTGACAGAGAAAGCCTACAAAAGGCAGGAAATTAAGTGACAACGTGATTGTTTTATCCAGAGCTAAATGAATCTACAAGAACTAGACAGCACGCTTGAGAGTGATGTTACCCAGCACAGAAATGATTTAGGAAACTGCAATTTTGTTTGAAAGGAATATGAAACAGACTCAGAAAGAGAATCCCCATCTATTTTAAGAAGGAAACATAATGTAATTGCTAAGGCTGCATTTGGTAGCAGTATAAAACATCATTCATTCTTGTCAATATTCTTCATTCACCAGTATTTAGTGATGTACATTGGGCCAAGCTCACTGTTTTCCTTAGAGGCACAGTGTAGGTGTCCACCTCCAGCTCCTCTTAGAGCAGGGCCAGGATGATGAAGGATAGGCCAGACCTTAGCACTACTACCCTCTAAGAGAGACCTTCGAATTACGCATTTCCCTGGGTCAGGTTTCTCCTCCCCATTGGCTTTCTCCTTTCACCCTCACACCTCTGGCACAGTAGCTTGGTGGACGGAACTCAGCAACTTGAGTTCACTCAGTACCAGGACATACTCCTGTCAAACCCACTTCTGCCATCAGTTAATAACTGAGTTTTCTCTACCTTTGAAGTAGAAATATAGATAGCTCTTTCCCATTCCTCTCTGAGAATTGGTGTAAAATATTTAATATAATACTAAAGAAAGCTCCTAAGCGTTTTGGATAAGTGTATAGGCTCTAACAAGTGTTTTGTTTTTTTTTTCATTATTATTATTTGCAAGTCTGTTTTTGATTATTGTCTCCTTTGACATTCAAAACTAACATCTGTTACCTACTGAGCTTTTCCACTTGGCAACTTCTCAGGATTTGCAGAGTTCCTCATAGTTTTCTTGCTCACTTTGCCATATGTGGTAGTTCCAGCCGGAGCAAGAAGAACAGAGTTTGGAAAATCGACTGGTCTTAACAGGAAGGTATTGACTTAACCCAGTGAGCAGATAGGTTGATCTGCTGTATCCTGTCTCAAATCCATGAATTTCTGGGCAAAAACCCTTCGTTTTCCACACTGGCTGCTTTTTTGACATGGTTTGGTCACATTTGTCCAATTGAGAGACAATAGAGAACTGGAATTTGGTGTGTCAGCTGCTTCATGGAATCCGTGCAGGACAGGGTTTCCCAACTGGATTCATGTTACTGCACTCAACTTCCCTGGGGTTTGGGTAGTGATAGTCTCACTTCCATGGACAAAGACACTGAGGTTCAGAGAGGTTAAACAGCATTCTCATAGTTACCAGCTAGCAAGGGGAATAAAGACACAGGTCTATCTGGCAGCATATCACCTCCACCCACCCCCACTACAGATTTCTGGAATTACTTCTTCCTTTTGTTCCACCTGGATCTGCCTGCCTACATGCAGCCCTCCCTGTTGACCCCTAAATGCCTTCCCAGCTTAAGCAAAGATGGCTCTCCCAATAGGCCTGGGGGTTAAAGAGCTCCTTAGGATCCGCTTTTCTCCCATCCTGCTGTCATAATTAACATCTGTGCAGCTCCTTGCAGTTTACAGGCTATTTTTGCATATCTCTTTTACTCTTATTTAAACTTCACAACTTTATGAGATAGGAAAAGCAAGAATTGTCTCCATTTCCTTATGAGGAAAATAGGCTGAGACAGGGTAAATTACTGGCCCAAGGTGGGTCCTCTTGGAACCCTAAATGTCAGCCCCCGGACCCTATCAGCCAGTAAGTGGAGGACTGAGACTCGCACCCCAGCTCTTGGGCCCCAGACCCTGTGCTTCCTGTCCTATAGCACCTGACTTTGGTATCACACCCCCAGAGTGTGCCAGAGTCACATACATGAAACTCATTGCAGCCACAGCTGAACACTGATGGAAGTGTAGGCCTGCAGGGTTCTCGGGCTCATGGTGAGGGTGTCCTGCTGCTACAGGAGTTGGCAAGACCCTGGTAATGAGAAGATTTCTGGGAATGTAAAATCGTTTGGGTATAGGGCCAGGATCTTGTTGGCAGTGGGAATCTGGAGGCAGTGCTGGGAAGATCCAGAGCCTGGCTCTGAGGGGAGAGGAGGCCATGTCTTATGGATCTGGGAAGGGTAGAGGTGCTCTTCCCACTCAGGGCTCTGTCACCCACCACTGTCTTCCCCTTCTCTGTGCAGAACACACCTGCGGCCTTCAAGAGTGACCATAGATGACTCCTTCTTCACAGAAACCAAGAACACCCAGAAACACAAGCTTTCTCAGAAACAGAAGACTCTGGTTAGTGATGATGTCCTGTTGGAACCCCAAATGTCAGTCCTCAGACCCTATGTGTCTCCCTCTCTGCAACCCAAAAGCACCACCCACCTGAAACATGCCCCCTAGAGCGTCTTCTCCCCAGTCAGGGGAATGTGGCTCTCAGATGCCAGGCCCACCAGGCTCAGGAGTGGGGGTCTTCACATTGCCCACACCTCATCTGAAAATCATTCCCAGACCTCCCTGGGCAGAAAGAGACTCAACCCTGTCCACAGACACCCTTCCCCTGCAGCTCAGCATTCTGGTGTGGACCTAATTTCTTCATCCAGCCTGCCACGTGCTAGGCATTGTGCTAGGTGCTGGGATGGTCCCAGCAGATCTCCCAAGGTCCTTCAGGGCTGTAATTGTATCTTTTTGTCTTTATGGCCCTAGTGCCTGATAGGGTACTTGAGTGGCTGGAACATGTTGAGAGCTCCATAAATGCTGTGAGTAGGTGTGTGTAGGCAGGAGTGAAGGGATGTTCTTCCATTGCGTTGTTGGCTCTGAGTTGGAAGTAGAGACTCTTTCCCAGCCTCAGGAAAGGTCCTTCCTCCATTCCTGTTCTTCAAGGCTTTTATATAAAAATGCATTCTAGGGCCAGCCCCATGGCTTAGCGGTTAAGTGAGCGCCCTCCGCTGCTGGCGACCCGGGGTTCGGATCCCGGGAGCGGACCGACGCACTGCTTCTCCGGCCATGCTGAGGCCGTGTCCCACATACAGCAACTAGAAGGATGTGCAACTATGACGTACAACTATCTACTGGGGCTTTGGGGAAAAAATAAATAAATAAAAATGCATTCTATCTTCTTAAGTACTTTGGGGCTTCTGTTGATATGATCATAGGATTGTTATTATTTAATCAGCAAATAGCCATTGCCCAAATCTCACAGATGAAAAAACACATTGGAGCAAACTTATAACTCCAACTCACAGTGGAGCATTGTGGGCTGTGTGGTGGTTTTGTTTGTGTGAGTGTGTCCTGTGTGGAGGATTTGGGGATAGGTGGGCCACATACTTTGGGGACTAGGGACTCCCAACATGGGGACTCTGACTCCAGGGAGAGAAAGGGAATCAGCGTGGACTCTGCGGAAACCAAGCGCAGCCACAGCCCCTCAAGACCCGATGACTTTGGGCGCCCGCTCCCCGCCCCCCACTCCCCTGAGCTGCCACCTACTCAGTGGACCTGGGGCTGGATGCTTTCGCTCCCTCTTTCTTATGCGTGGCAGCGGCACGCCGTTCTCAACCCGCAGCGGACGTTTTTCCCTCCCGCCGTTCCCGCGCTTCTCGTTCTCACCTGCAGAGGGAAGCAGAGAGCACGGAGCGCACCGAAACACTATCTTCCAGCCACCCGCTGGCGGAGGTCTTCCCAGCTATTAATAACCAGGCGGAAGAAGCGGCGCTTGCCCAGAAATCAAAGTAGGGTGACCACATTTTCTCCTGGCAGAAACGGCAGACAGAACACGAGGACTGACCTTTTGAAAGTCTGAAAAACTTATTAACTCGCCAGGGTTAGGTGCTTCTTTGACAACTTCCCGGGCGTCTTCCGGCTTTGTGCTTTTTAAAAAATCATGTCAATTTTGATAGTCTTTCAAAAGAACTCTTTCTGGCTTGATTTTTAACAGTTTGACTTCTCTCATTATTCTAGTTTGTCTATTTCTACTTCTATTTCCTGTTTTTAAAAAATTTATTATTATTATTTTTTTAACTTTTTTTTTTTTTTTTTTTGTGAGGAAGATCAGCCCTGAGCTAACATCCGTGCTACTCCTCCTCTTTTTGCTGAGGAATACCGGCTCTGAGCTAACATCCATTGCCAATCCTCCTCCTTTTTTTTCCCCAAAGCCCCAGTAGATAGTTGTATGTCATAGTTGCACATCCTTCTAGTTGCTGTACGTGGGACACGGCCTCAGCATGGCCGGAGAAGCGGTGCACCCGTGCAGGCCTGGGACCTGAACGCCAGCCACCAGTAGTAGAGCGGATGCACTTAACCGCTAAGCCACAGGGCCGGCCCTAAAAAATTTATTATTGATAGTTCTTTTCCTTTTCCAGAACCGGGGGTTAAGACTTTGTTTCCTAATAGCGCAAGTACTTTAAGCAATTAAATACCTTGTGAGTACCTCTCTGACCATGTCCCAAACATTTAGAACTTTAATTTTAACGTTATTCCTATGACGTGTTGTATTTTAAGTAATAAATGGGTCAGGAAAAACATGAACTTATATTTAAATTTCTAAATGGTTAAGTGTTTTGGAGGTATATTTATATTGTCAGTTATTATTTTCATTGCATTGTATCAGCAAATGCAAGACATATAGTTTCTGGTTTAAAAATGTGTTAAGACCTTATCTGTGGCCTATGATTAATTTTTTCTACATGTTAAAAGACTGTTCTTTATTTCTGTTTAATGCATGTTATATATGTTCATCTGTCATTATCAATTATATTACTCTCAGCATTAGTGTCTTTTACCTTTCTCTGCCTGCTGTAGCTTATTCTGATAGGAGGGCTTTAAACTCTTTACTACAATTTCTGTTTCGTCATCTCTTTTTTCGCTCCTATATTTTCACTTATTCAACAAATGTTTGTCAATTCCCACTATGTGCCAGGCACTGGGGATACAGGGGTAAACAAGATATACATAGTCTCTGTCCCTGAGAGAAGATGAGGAAGTGATGATGAAAAAGTGCACAGTATTGGGCCTGGGAAGAACATCAGGGAGAACCCCTGAGATCTTAAAGATGAGTTGTCAGGATAGAGCATTCTCAACCCAGGGAAAAGCATGTGCAAACATATACACCCAGTGAGTAACGTTTTATTTTTATCCATGCTAAGTTATTGTGCTCCATCACATATTTATTCAACAATATTTGCTGTGTGTTACTTAAAACTGTGAAGAGTGTGACGTACGATGCCATCGATTCTGGAGGTACAAAGATAGGTCAGCCTAGACCCCTGCAAGAGGCTGGAGTCCTCCTTGGGACCTAGCAACAAGGCTTCCTATGTACTTTCCATAAATATTTAGGGAAAGAATGAATGATCCCAAGATTGAGATAAAGCATGTGCAGAACTGACAGAATGCAAAGAGCCCAAGAAGACAGTAGCATTTTCCACACTAGGAGGGTCAGGAGCCAGTTACAATTACCCTGGAAAGACTCCTAGAATCTGAATATGTGGGGCATAGGAGGTAGGCCTGGCCTTTCCATCCCAGAAGAACCTAGAGGCCTGGCTCAGGGCCACAGAGGGGGCTTTAATATTGAATTCAATAATTCACTCTTCTTTTAAATTTGAATGTAATTTATGTGCCTTGTAGAAAATTTTGAAAAATGTACAGTTATAGAAAAATAAGCACCCATGGGCCTATCATGAGAATAATAATTCCTGCTAACCTTTTAGATTATTTCCTCCATCTTTTCTGGTCTTTCATTTTACCTGGTTGTGTTTATTCCCTAATTTCAGGCTTTACTTAACCCTGAGAGCTATAGCATTAGTATATTTCCATGTTAAGCCTCTTTGTAAACATTTCATGGCTGCATAACAATCTTCTATTTTTATTTATTTATTTTATTTTTTATTTTTTGTGAGGAAGATCAGCCCTGAGCTAACATCCATGCCAATCTTCCTCTTTTTGCTACGGAAGACAGGCCCTGAGCTAACATCTATTGCCAATCCTCTTCCTTTTTTTCCCTTTTTCTCCCCAAAGCCCTGGTAGATAGTTGTATGTCGTAGTTGCACATCCTACTGGTTGCTGTATGTGGGGCACCGCCACAGCATGGCCAGACAAGCGGTGGTCAGTGCGCACCCGGGATCCGAACCCCGGGCTGCCAGTAGCGGAGCACGGGCACTTAACCTCTAAGCGGGGGCCAGCCCCCACAATCTTCTATTTTTAGACATTTAGGAGTTTTCTAATTTTCCACAGTCATAAGTAAGGCTTTGAGGACCACCCTTGTGCATAAAGCTGCTGCTCCATCTCTGTCTCCCTCTGCACTGGCTGCTGCAGACCTCAGCCTCAGCTGGCCTGTTCTCCTTGGGCATCAGCCTCTGTTCATAGCTCTTCAAAACTCCCGCTGGTTCATTGAGGGGTTGGTGCTACCCAGGCAGTCTGTGTGTCCCCCCACCTGCCCTCTCCCAGAGTGACCTCAGCTTCTCTCATGCACTCATTCAGGCTTTATTAAACATCGCTGACATCATCACCTCCTCCTGCAAGATGGCCAGCCTTCCCTGGCCCCCCTAGTCAGGGCACCCCACCCTCCTGTAACCTGCATTGGCTTCAGTCACTACCTGTTGACTTGTGATTATCAGTTCACTTCTCACCCCATTTCCATCATACCCTCAGCTTCCCTCATGTCCCTAGAACTCAGCAGAGGCTAGCATGTACTATGGACCTAGAGAAATTTGATGAACAAATGAATGACTGAATGGATAAACTCTAAAAATGGGATTCACTGGGTCAGAGGGTCATTTTTTTTCTCTTATGTTTTGAATATTTCATGAAAAGGTTAAAAAACAAGCCCATACATACTACTACTTCTACCCCCTACCCCTGCTCAAGGTTCAAAATGAGATTGCACTGCTTCAGGGCACCCTCACCTATCTCCCCCTCTCCCAGGGGATACAGCTCAGTCTCCTCCCAGGGTCCACAGCTCACCCTGCTGCGTCTCTGCAGTCCTGTCTGTGTGTCCGTCCAGGCTTGAGGCTGGCCTTGCCCTCCTCTATCCTCCTCTTTAGCTGGACTGTGTTGTGGGGACAAGGGTTGCTCCCTATTGGTACTCACATCTGTTTTCATAGTACAGGTATTCAACACTCACTGACATACCTGCAGAAGAGAAGATTAGTTCACCTCTACAGAGTTCCTAGGAGGTGCCTGAGTCTGTGTAAACCACCCTTTATGCTTTCTCATTGCATCCTCACATCAATACAGTGTGATGGGGACTACTACCATCCCCATTTTACAGATGCAGAGTCTGAGGATCAAAGAAGTTAGCTTGTGGTCACATTGCTAATAAGAGAGATCTGGGATTTAATCAAAGCCATCTCTAACTCTAGGGTCCAGGGTCTTATTTATGAACCATATTAAGAGATGTTGACAAAAAAAAATCAGGAATGGAGTGGGGAGGATGGAGAGGAGCATCAGGAAGGGGAGCGATGTTGCCATGGTAATCCCACCTGTCCCTTCCTACAGTCCTGTCAGTTCTCCACTGGTGGCCACCTGTCCCCATGGCCCACATACACCAGTGGCCAGACCATTCTGCATAATCGAAAGCCCTGTTCAGATGACTACCGGAAGCGAGCAGGGTAAGCCGGGGTCAGCCCAATGGTGGAAGCGCTGGTACAGACCCAGCGTTGGGCCCAGAGACAGCGCAGAGGTGTGTGCTCCCCCAGACTGAGGGTGCAAGGGCCCTATGGAGTGCCCATCACATCTCAGCCCACCACCCCCTGCAGTAGCTGGCAGCAGCAGCCCCTGAACACTACCAAGCCGAGGTACCTGGAGCAACTAGAGAACTACCTACGCAAGGAGCTCCTGTTGCTGGACCTGGGCACAGATTCTGCCCAGGAACTGAGGCTGCAGGTTAGAGCCACAGAATAACTGTGGGAGGGGAGGAGGAAGGATGGGAGGAAACCTTACCTACCAGGACTGAACACTAAAGACCTTCAGGAGAGACCAGCCTCTCCTAGCTCTTTTGGGTTCCCCTTTCCAGTAAGAGAAACAAGTTCTATGACAAAGCCAGTGAGCAGGCAAGGCTGTCAATATGGAGCCAAAACTCACCTGAGGCTTGTGTTTTCTCACCTGAGTCAGGTGCACTGGATGCTGTCTCCAGTCCCTTTAGCTGTATGATTCCCAGTGCCCCGCTTGGGTCATTGGACATCAGTGGATGGAGCCTGAATCTAGGCAGTTGGGCAAGCAAGGGTCATACAGTGTCTACCAGCCCAGTGACAACCACCCCAAGCTTGAGGAACTAGCCCAGACACATAAAGAGAGAAATCTAGATACAACCTAGATTCTGGTACTTATTAGGGAGGGAACCACTAAACCCTTCTCAAACGAGGATGCTGACAGGGAATCCTGACATTATGACAGGAGCATTTGCTGAGCATCATCTGTGTGCCAGGCCCTGGATGAGGCCTTATATATGATCTCACAAGCTGCAGGTACCTCGCCAACAAACAGAAGCTTGGAGAGGGCATACAGCTATGAAGTGGTGGTGCTGGGATTAAAACTCAGGGTTGATTCAGGAGCCCATGCTCTTTCCAGTATGCAATGTTGCCTCCAGAAACTTCCTGTGTGTCCAAGTGGGACAGGAAACCACACATCTACTTGGAGGCCAGAATGCAAGGCTATAGCCTTCGATCTCCTCCCCACACAGGGCTGTAAGTTGAGGAGGGGGTGCTGGTGAGAGGCCAACTGAGGCACAGTGCATGCAGGGGGCTGGCTGCCCGGAGAGCCAGAGAGGGGGCTTGAGTACAGCGGGGGAGGTCCTGACCCAGGTGGTCTGCCAGGCCTCAGAGGCAGCACCAGGAGAGGCCTCCAGAAAGCAGCTGAGAGGGACAGAGTTGCCCCTCAGTTCCTTGGCACTGTGAGAGACTTGGATGGTGCCTGGGATATTTATTTGAATGTGGGTCACCTGGCACCTTTGTGCTAGAACACTTCTAAGCCAAGGGTGGCTGCTATAGGCCAGGAGGTGACAGGTTCCCTTTTCTTGCCAGCCTTATAGAGAGATTTTTGAGTTCTTCATAGAGGACTTCAAAACGTACAAGCCATTGCTATCCTCCATCAAGAATGCATATGAGGTGATGCTGGGTAAGACTGCAGCCTCCTCGCCTGGGCCCACCCTGGAAAGAGTGGAGAGGATCCTACTCTGACCTTCTGGGGCTCTGCAGCAGGGCTGGGGCAGTTACTAACTGGGCCTCAAGGTCACCAAGCCCTGGTCAGCCTTTTTGCTTGCACTGTCCTGTGATAGGGCACCTGACCATCGCCTGTCCTTGGGAAGCATGGTGGGGCAGAATTTGTAGGAAATAGAGCAACTTTTTTTTTTTTTTTTTTAATTAATTTAGTGTGTTTGTGTGTATGTGAGCAAAATCAGCCCTGAGCTAACATCCATGCCAATCCTCCCCTTTTTGCTGAGGAAGACTGGCCCTGAGCTAACATCCGTGCCCATCTTCCTCCACTTTATGTGAGATGCCACCACAGCATGGCCTGACAAGCGGTGTGTTGGTGCGCGCCCGGGATCCGAACCCAGGCCGCCAGCAGCAGAGCGTGCGCACTTAACTGCTACGCCATGGGGCCGGCCCCAGAGCAACTTTTCTATTGAGAGTGAAGCCCAGGAGGGAGTGAGTACATCTGGGAAGTGAGGAGTCTCCCCTCACCAGGCTCAGGAGATGCCAGGCAGGGTGCAGCTGCAGAACTAAAGGCTGTAGGGAGAAAGGGCATAGGTGAAACCCCACTCCTCATCTGGACTCTGCCCCTGGTTTAAAAGCAAGTGCAGGAAGGCCTTCAGCAGGGGCCATGCTTTGAATGAGGCATGCAGAGACTCCTGGAGTTTGCAAGGGACATAGCCACTCACTGTCACCTTAGGATCAGTGTCTCCTAGCTGTTTGTTCTCATGGCCCCAAAGGGATTCTCCCACCTGTCCCTACTTAGCCCACCAGAGGGAGAGGATTCGGGCTCTGGAGCCCCTGAAGGCCAAGCTTGTCGCTGTGAATGAGGACTGTAATGAGAGGATCCTGGCCATGAGAGCTGAAGAGAGATACGAAATCTCCACGCTGAAGAAAGAGAAGATGAATTTGCTAAAACTCATTGACAAAAAGAATGAGGAGAAGATCTCGTTGCAGAGTGAGGTAAATGGGAGTAGTGCAGTGACCAACTCCCTGAATTCCTGCCACCCCCACCCCAGGAGTGACCTTGAGGCCTTGGGCACCAAAGTGACCCCCTATCTCCCTCTACCCTTCTGCCTGGAATGACATACTGAGCCACTACCTCCTCCCAGAACCCCTGCTGCCTCCACACTCTGCCCTCCTCCTTGGCTCAGCACTGGCTCAAAGTGGCCCTAAGTGCCAGCAGAGTCCTGTTCCTTGGCTGCCAGACTTTCTCCACAGGAGGAAGCATTGGCACTTTGCTGGATTCTCAGGAATTGCCAATCTCCTCCTTCTTGCACCTTTCCTGTTCCTAGGCCCTGATGGGGCTACCCAGTACCCATCCCATCCCCTATGGTGACTAGCTACATACAGGTCCAGAGGCAGCCCCTGACCATGCAACTACCTTCCCAACAGGTGACTAAACTAAGAAAGAACTTGGCTGAGGAGTACCTGCACTACCTTACTGAGCGAGATGCTCGCAAGATCCTCATTGCAGACCTGAATGAGCTACGGTACCAGCGGGAAGACATGTCACTAGCCCAGTCCCCAGGTAAGCCTGAGGTGGGTTTCTCTCTCCTGAGGAAGTGCTGGAGAGGAGTCTGGCTCTCACCACTAACACTCATTCATTCAGCTCTCCTGATATCTGCTCATTCCGTGCCCATTCAGGATGGGAGATGTCCCTGCTGCCACCTGGGTCTGTGGATTTCTGAGCTGGACTGAGAATTATACACTCATTGTTTAAGTAGGAAACAACTGCTGACAGCTGAGGCAGCCTAGACTCCCTGAGGGCAGGACAGGCCTGGTACCATGTCCTGGGCTTCTCTATTTAAGCCTAAAGCCCTAGGCTGGTAGTGCTGTGGGCAAGACCCAGGGGTTCCCAAGCAGGAAGATCAGAAGGACCTGGGACATGCCCTGAGGGGCACTCTAACCCTGCCCTGGGCTACAGGCCCCAAAGCCAGGGTGACATGAGCTGGCGGGCCCCCTGGCAGGCATCTGGGGGGAGGACCCCGTGAAGTTAACACTGGCTCTGAAGATGACCCGGCAAGACCTGACCCGCACACAGATGGAACTCAACACCATGAAGGCCAACTTTGGAGATGTGGTGCCCAGAAGGGACTTTGAAATGCAGGAGAAGACCAACAGGGATCTGCAGGAGCAGGTACTGGTAGGCAGGCCAGGCAGGGTAGGGCAGGGTCATGCAGGTATGTAGCGAGGACCATAATCTTGCCCTCAGCTGGACAGCCTGAGAGATGACTACGAAGAGGTCCGCAAGGAGCATGAGATACTGCTGCAGTTGCACATGAGCACACTGAAGGAGCGGGACCAGTTTTATTCTGAGCTGCAGGAGAGCCAGCGCACCTCCACGCCACGGCCTGACTGGACCAAGTGTGAAGGTAATGATGACCACTGGGGCCCCAAGGACTGCTCAAGTGCATGGTCTGGACTCCAGCTCCCTCTTCTCTCCGGCAGATGTGGTGGCTGGGGGCCGAGATCGCTGGCAGATGCTGGCCGAGGGCAAGAACAGCGACCAGCTGGTGGACGTGCTCCTGGAGGAGATTGGCGAGGGGCTGCTCCGGGAGAAAGACTTCTTCCCTGGTCTGGTAGGGAAGTCCCTGGGCTGTGGAGCCTTGGGGCCAGAGTCAGAACAGCCAGGCCTTGCTTCTGAGAAGACTTGAGGTTCTGGGGAACCATCTGGGGCTTTGCCCTGCTTGAGGGTGGGGCCACAGATGGACCCAGAGATGAGCTGACACTCTCCCTTTCAGGGCTATGGGGAAGACATCCCCCCTTTCCTTCGGTTTGATGGTATTGTGGAGAACAAGAAGCCAACCAAGAAGGATGTAGTAAACCTCCTGAAGGATGTCTGGAAGGAACGGCTCGCTGAGGAGCAGGTCAGATCTCACTAGCCATTTTGGCCTGGCATGACCTCCAGAGTCCTCCAGGGGGCTCCTTTGAGGTGCTAGGAAGCAGGGAGGAGGGCCAATCAAGGTGCGGCAGGCTGACCAAGTAGTCTTCCCCTTACCCTGCAGAAAGAGAAGTTTCCAAATTTCTTCTTCAATTTCCTGGAGCGTCGCTTTGGGCCTGGTGATGCCATGGCCTGGGCTTACACCATTTTTGAAAATATCAAGCTCTTCCGCTCCAATGAGGTCATGAGTCAGTTCTATGCAGTCTTGATGGGAAAGGTGAGCTTGGGCCTGGCCCTCTACCCTTTGTCCCCAGCATAGGCCAGCTCTGTGCCCACCACTGCGGGAAGCAGCGAGTTAGTCAATGCTTCCCTCCCTGTAGAGGAGTGAAAGTGTGTACACCAAGCAGAAGGAGACAATAGCACAGCTGTTGAAGGAGATGACAAATGTTGACAGTCAGAACGAGGGGCTACTAACCATGGAGCAGTTAAGGTAAGAGGCCCGTTTGACGACCCCAAACTCCTGCCCAACATCTCCTCTGGCCAGGCTCCCAGGTGTGCTGGGGAAAGGGGAGCCTGGAGAGAAGGGCTACAGCCTCCACATTTGCTGCCCTTTTGAGCACTAGTGGGGCTGGCAGAGGGGTGCAGAGAAATGGGTGGACGGGCCTCAGCCAGGCCCCTGTTGGCTCTCATGTCTCCCCACAGCACTGTTCTCAAGAGCACCTTCCCCCTCAAGAAGGAAGAGAAAATTCAGGAGCTGATGGAGGCAGGGGGCTGGCATCCCAACAGCAGCAATGCAGACTTGCTCAACTACCGCTCATTGTTTATGGAGGTGGGTGGGGGGGTCCAGGAACTTGCCCAGCCCTAGCATCTGCTGGACCCTAGGCCATGGGCCTTCACCCTGCCTTGTGGCCCCTTCCAGGATGAGGAAGGCCAGAGTATGCCCTTTGTGCAAAAGCTGTGGGAACAGTACATGGATGAAAAGGATGAGTACTTACAGGAGCTAAAGCAGGAGCTAGGCCTGGAACTGTGAGTGATCCTGAGGCCCTAAGGCCCACTTAGCCATAGGCGAGTTCCACAGGCTGGGCCACAGGGTGGCATCTCAAGCCCTGGGGTCTCCCTGTGCACTGAGCTTGCAGTTGGGCACTATATACTGCTCAAGCCTGGTAGAGGGCATCTTGGGGTCTGGGGTGCAGAGGAGGGATCAAGGCCTGTCTCTCTCTTTCCTTGTGGGGCAGCCGTGATGAGGTAACCCTATCCAAGATACGTGAGGCCCTGATGAACATCGATCCCAGCCTGGACAAGCAGACTCTGAATAGCTATTTGAGCCAGGCCTTCCAGCTCCCTGTGACAGAAGTGCCAGAGGAGGGTGAGGAAGAGGGCATTGTGATATGGCTCCAGACTGCACTGGAACGGCTTCACATGGCTGACATCAGGCGCATGGGTCCTCGAGAGCAGGAGCCTGCAAGCTAGGGCCACTGTGGGCAGCCTGTGTGCTCCAGTACTGCTGACCTCTGACTTTTAGTATAAAATTGTTTGAACCCATGCCATTCTCCAGGTTATGCTGGGGAGTCGAGGGGAGGGGGGTTAGTCTCTGCCTAGCTGGTCCCAGGACATGCACCAAAACACAGCAGATTCTGTTTGTGAAACTTTATTGATGCTAGAGGGCGGGGAGGAGACCTGGAAGAGTATGTGGAACCAAGTGGCCCCAAGTAGGGACAGGGCAGGCATCAAGGCCTGGCCACTACTGGGCAGGGAAGACAGAGTTGCCACTGAATGCACAAGGGATGAGCAGCTGCCGGTACTCCAGGGGCAGGTGCCGCTCCACAAGCACGTGCAGGGAGAGTTGGTCGGTGACCAGGCCCTGCCTGCGGCAAAGGATAGAAATAGACACAGAATCAACACCAGAACTCCCACACCCAGCACCTCCCTGCTTCTGCCCACTTACCGTCGCATCAGCAGCTCCAGGTCCTCTGGCCTTACAGTTTTGCGGCCAGCATGAGCAGCAAATACCTCCAGGTCATCACAAAGATGCTGGAAATACTTGTCCAGGCTGCCAAGAAGGTTGGGGTAGAACAGACTGAACAGACTGTTCATGATCTGAGGGGCTCCACTCCCTACCCTGAGTGTCCAGGACTCACCACTTCTCCACCATCTCAAGAGCCTTCCTCTCCATGGGCATCTTAGCATAGAAGCTAAAGAGTTTTGCATAGTGGCTCAGTCTAGTCTTGTAGGGATCTTGACGGGGCTTGGGGCCAGGGGTTCGGGCCCTGGGAGGAAGCCTGGCCGACAGAGGCTCCAGAGGTAAGCTGGGTGCAGGAGTGGACAGAGTTAGCTAACTGCTGCCTGAAGAGGCCTCTAATCAAAGACAAGTCTTGCTGGCTCCTGCCAAGACTGGGGCCCTTGTGCTCCTCGGCCAGCCTGGACCAACAACTCCCAACTATCTGCTGGGGGGGCAGTAGGGACAGGGGGCCACATAGACACCTGGTCTTGCCCTGGGGCCCTGATCCTCCACAGTCTGGACCCAATGTCCCAGTCTAGGCTCATCATATGAATTGGTACTTGCTCAGGCCCATAACCCTCAGACCTCGGGATAGACATTCCCTCCTCTCGGCCCACTGCTGTCTGTCTGATTCCGCTAATCCTCCCCCAGGAAGCCTTCTCTGACTACATACCAACCTAGGCACTTCCCCTACTTAGTCTCCTCTAAGCCCCTGGAAGCAGACACCAGGATGACAGATGTGCCCTCTCGGTGAGTCCCACCCAGCCCAACTCAGGGTGCTCTGCTGGGTAATCATCTGCATACCTATCAGAAGAGGGATAACCCTGTGGTGCCCAATGCTAACTTCAGTGCCTGCCCCCTTCCCAAGAGGCCCATGCAGAACAGGGTTGTGAGATCTTACACTGCAGTGCTAGGCGGTGGGGCTGGCTCAAGACACTGTAGTTGCTTGGCCTGAAGAAACTCCGGGGTGCTGGCAGCCAACTCTGGACTTACTGCAGAGGAAGGGCAGGGTTACAGGGGGCTGAGGCCTGACCATCTCACTCAACCCTGAAGGCCCACAGCCTCTTTGTCCTGTTCCTCAGGGCCCCATCTAGCTCTGGCCAGCCAAGCAAGGGGCCCCTCAGAGTCTCCCTGGCCGAACACTACCTGTGCCCAGAAAAGCTCCTCCTCCAAGGCTGGGCCTGAACACAGTTGTCACTTACCCACTCACCCCCTGATCCCTGCACTGGGCCCCTTACCTGTCCTACCAGAGGTGTCCACATCCCCTGAAGATCCTTCAGGCTCCTTGGTCTCAATAGCCCCCTGGGATCCCTCTGCTTCTGTCACCTGTGTGTGTCCCTCAGGCTCTTCTGCTCTGGCAGATCCTTGTGCTCTTGCTGCCTCCTTCACTTTGCTCATGCTCAAGCTTTCTTCCATTCTTTCCTCTGCCTCCTCACCAACTCCATCCTGTAAGGGCTCTACTGCAACTTCTCCAAAGATACTACTGCTGCTGTGTGAGAAACTCATAGCAAGGGCATCAACCTCCTCTGCTCTTCCGGCCAGAAGTTGGGCTGGTTTCCCAGGACCTGAATCAAGAGGAGAGAATACAGGCTAGAGAAGCAGTAGGCCAAGGCTGTAGCTCTGAGAAGGGTAAAGATGGAGTAGTAAAACCATCATAGCACATCAAGGAAAAGAGAAGGCCAGAGGCAGCCCTAGGGTACTGGTTTGGAGTCTCCTGGCCCAACACTGACTCTGCTGCTCTTGGATGGAGGAGGGATCAACAGCCAAGAGGTGGGGGGTGGGGGAAAGCAGGGAAAACCACCAGTGCCAATTCTCGCCCAAGCTAGGCTTGGCTCCTGGCCACCTGCCCCACATACTCACTGTTGTTCTGCAGCCTAGGCCCACTGCTCCGTGTCCTGTGACTGACAGCTCTCTCAGCATCTTCAGCCCCAGAGTGAGAAGGGCAGGGCAGGGAGTGGTGCACACTGGGGGACTGGCCAACCAAGGGTTGGGAGAAGGGCTGGGTGTCCTCCAACACAGTATCTGTTGGCAGGGTAGCAACAAGGGTTCTGAGGCTGTTATCTGGAGATCAAGGGCCAGTTGGCACTCAGTGTATTCCAGGCCCACCTGCTGCAACCCAGTCACCAGGGCCTGGGTAGTGGGCCCCATGAGTCTACCCCGAGTGGCCTTCAGAGAGAGAAGACTGCCTTGTACTCTAAGCCTTATCTCCCTTCCAAAGCAATCCTTGTTTATGTTCCTGCTCCTTTGCTTGCCATTCCCAGGCTCCACAGCTTGCGCCACCCAAACTGGTCACCCATGCCTCCACTCTCTACTTCTCACTATGCTCCCTCTGCCTGGAACCCTCTTCTTACCCTGATGAACTTGACTTGTCTTCTGGAATCAGGCTTCCAGGTCAGCTATGACTGGCTAGCTGATCCTGAAACCTGGCTCCTTTCAACCTCCCAACAAGCTCCAGCCACCATATTACACCCTTTTCCTACCCTCAGCCCTGTAGCTCCTCAAGGATATGAGGTCCTAGAAAACACTGAGGACTAAGACTGGGCCCCACCAAGACAAGAGGCACCTTGTGGAAAGAAAACAGAAACTCCTCATAGACCTACTGGCCAGGCTTGCTCACTGTCCTTGACCCAACAGAGGGGGTAGCAACCCTGGACTCAGCAGCACCTCCTATCTGTCATGGGGAGTGCTTTCACCACAGGCCAGAAAAGGGAAATCTCAGCCTTACCTGGAGGAGCCAAAGCCAGGGAAGTATCTCGCAGATCCTGCAAAAATGCACCCACATCTACAGCTCGGTGGGTGGGAGGTCTGCGGGCCAAACCAGGCCTCTGCACTGACTGTGGCTGGAGAGGTGTGGCAAAGGTCAGGTTGAGGGAACTGGTGGGAGGGAGGAGGCACGAAGGAAAGTCAGGTACCTGAGGCTCAGCATCTCTCCCCGCAGGATTCCCCCATCTGCCCTGGTGCCCTCATCTCTTAGAACATAGCCAGCATGCTGTGAGGCTAAAACTGGAAGGGGGCAGTATGGCCAGATTCCATTCTAGTCAGCACTCTTTCCCCAAGCCTCTTCTCTACCAACCCCCAGAACAGGCAACAGCACCTGGTGAGGGAGGAGGCATCAGCATTCCCATGAGGCTCTGCAAGAGAATGTAAAAAGAAGAAACCATGATAAGTTACCTAGGCTCATGAGAGCCCTTTTTCAGGCTTCCTGAGCCTCTCCAGAGGACAGGAGAGAGACAGTGGCCACAGGTGTTTTCCAGGCCCTCACCTTGGGAGAGAGGCAGCTCCTGGTCCATTCCTTGCTGAAACACTGACAATCTCAGCCTCTGCTTCCTCTTGCCAGGAGCCAGCAGTCCTGGAGCCAGAGTTGTTGGGGGTTCGAGCTCAGGAAGTTGCAGCTCCAGGCTACAAGGATGGAGCTTACCTCAGACAGGCCAAGAAGCCCAATTCTGGCTTTTGGGATCCCCAAGAGGCTCCCTGACCAAAGCTGGCCAACAGCCCAGCCCAGGGAGGGAATTCACTGTGTACCTGCCCCGACTGCTTTCCCGTCTGGGGGGCTGGACCACCTGTGGTGCTGGCACTGGCTTCACCACTGACTCTGGCATCACGATGGAAGATTCTGGGGCTGCACAAACAGCAAGGAGAGGGTGGGCTGGCAGGGCATGCTGCCTTGAATGAGGGAAATCATAGGACTGGTGCCTAACTATGACCAGCAGGCCAGTGCTCACTCACCAGTTAGCAGGATGTTCTTCAGCAGAGTCCGGGGTGTCTGTTCCTCCAGGTGTCCACTGGCTTGAACGTGGGCCAATTTGCCAATAGACTATGGGCAAAAGCACCAAAGCAATCAGTCTGTTCCTTTGCCTCGAGATTCCCTCAAGGTGGGCTCCAGAGCAGAGCTAGACATCAAGGCTCCCTGAAGGTAGCCAGAGCCCTGTAGTGGTCAGTGGGCTGGGCACTTACCTTGGTTCTCTGGGAACGCCGCCTCGCAGTCATCTTTGTTTGGCTGCTCAACCTCCTAGAGGAAGGGGTTTCAAGCAGGGCTCTCTGGGCACTGTGTAAAGACCAGCAGCTCTGAATTATGCAGGGAGGGGGAACTAGAGGATGCAGAGTTGAGCTTTCATCAGAGATCTTGGCCTGAAGTCCTTTTCCTTCAGGGCCAGGGACCCAGAAACCACTTGCCCCTCCCATAGCCCCTGTTGCCAGTTTTATGTCAACAAGGTTGTGGATGAAAGGGAGCCTGAGGGGTACGGGAAGAGAGAGGGACTATCATGACCCAGCCAGAGAGAGGGGCTGAGGAAGGCTTCACAGAGGTGACTTTGGCAGAAGTAGGGGTCAGCCACAGAGACAAGAGGAGAATTGGAAGAGTATCCATTCTAGACATTAAAATAACAATCCAAGAAGGATATTTAAATATTTTTAAACCTTTTAAGTACTTGTCAGCGTCTGACAGCAACCTCCACATGGGTCACTCCAGCCCTGGTCTTTCCAGTCCAGTCCGTCTCAGATTCCAGAACCACATAAATGTTCCCAGAGCACTGTTCCCACTTCATCACTCACGGGTCTAAAACCCATAATGAATGGCTTCCCATTGCCTATAAAGGAACTGCACTGCCCCAGTCTGGTAGATGCCAACTTCCACACCCTTTGCACCATAAGCTCACCACAGCTCTAACTGACACTCCCACCTGCAAAGTCAGGCCAAATTGCCCGCAAAGCATCTTTCTAGTTCCTGCCTCCCAACTTCAGCCCAGGCTGTGCTCTCCAGCTCCCTTCTCATCTTCCAGCTGGGAGCTACAGAGACAATAGGACTAAATGTGCAGGAAAAGGTGGGGACCACCTGGGAGGCAGTTCAGGGCAGATGCCTGGACACATCATGGAAAAGTGACCTAGAGAACAGGGCAGAAGGCCAGATTCTGAGCGCCTATCCTTCGCCTCTAGAGGCGGACACCCAAAGACGCGGGCATAGTTGAGTTCTGTGGTCCCAAGCGGCCTGGAGTCCCGGGGGGGTGGGGGCACAAACAGCTGACCCGAGCCCAGTTAGGGGAGTGGAGCTAGTTCTCAGAGCCCTGGGCTCTACTCCTCTCCGGTACTCGGCTTCCCTCTCCAAACAAAGTCAGCGCTGGACCCCACCACCCAGTCCCTCAGGTTGCTCTTGAGCTCGGGCGGCGCCCACACATACCCAGCCCGAGCATTCCGGGGTCGCCGCGGGGTGCGGGGGTCCGCTGTATCCAGCACGCGCCGCAGCAGCGTGCGCGTCGTAGGCTCGCTGTCGGGGTTGCCACTGTCCGCCATCGCCTCAGCCGTTCGCCCTCCCAACCGCAGGGCTAGCCACAAACGTCGCCCTCCCGCCGCTGCATTTAAGCCAACTCTCGCGATGCTACCGCACAGCCCCACGGGAATTGCAGTTCCAGCTCCATTGCTTTGCTGAACTTGGTGTGTGTGGGGGGCGAGGTTTGCAAACTGAATTTGGGAGTGAGCCTGGGCAAATGTGTGCAACCAGTGGAAGCCTTGGTTTCCTCATCTATAAATTGAGGATGATACTCACTTAATAAGGGGCTTGTAATGATTCAATGAGATAATGTTTAACTCAAGGTCTGACAAATACTAAGCCAGGCCATCAATAAATAGCAGTCATGGGCCAGCCCGTGGATTAGCGGTTAAGGGCACGCGCTCCGCTGCTGGTGGCCCGGGTTCCGCCCCAGGCGCACACGGACGCACTGCTTGTCAAGCCATGCTGTGGTGGTGTCCAGTATAAAGTAGAGGAAGATGGGCACGGATGTTAGCCCAGGGCCAATCTTCCTCAGCAAAAAAGAGGAGGATTGGCATCGGATGTTAGCTCATGGCTGATCTTCCTCACCAAAAAAAAAACAAAAAAGGAATGTCTTTCATTCCCATCTCCCTCTCCGAAGATGAAGAGAGACACACTTGGGCCAGGAAAAATAATTTTATCCTATATGTAACTTGGTCAGATTTGCATTTGTAAAAACCCCTGTCTGTGGGATATCTGTCTATCAGAAGAGATCAGTTTGCAGACTTGGGGGCTACATTTTATGATCTCCAAACACGTGCAATTTTGAGATGAATTCTGGCTTTCAAAAGTTCTGTTAATGCTGGAGACTCCATTACCACAGTTTTCACCAATTTACAGCCCTACACTTTTCTTTTTTTTTTTTTTTAAAGATTTTATTTATTCAGTTTTTCCCCCCAAAGCCCCAGTAGATAGTTGTACGTCATAGGTTCACATCCTTCTAGTTGCTGTACGTGGGACTCAGCCTCGCGTTGGACGGAGAAGTGGTGCCTCGGGGCGCTCCCGGGATCCGAACCCGGGCCGCCAGCATCAGAGCGCGTGCACTTAACCGCTAAGCCACGGGGCCGGCCCCCTACACTTTTCTTAAATTTTCATGGGAACTGAATTAGAACTTGGGTTCTGAGTCTCCTGTGGAGTTCTCATGTTTGCTTCTAGACTGGGTGTAAAGTATCAGATACTGGAAACAGGCATGGGCATATATGTGCTTGTGTTAAAAAACAGAGCAAAGAAAAAATTGGATTCTTGCTTCTCAAAATAAGAGAACTGCAGAGGAAAAGCATATCAATATTCCTCGTAATTTAGATCTGACCTCTGTGTTATCTGACTTAATTTGCTAGCCCTTTGCAGGCACATTTCCATGGTCACTATCAACCACTTAAGTGCAACACATGTATCTATCTATCTATCTATCTATCTATCTATCTATCTGTCATGCTTTGAGCTGGATAATACAGAAAAAACAAAAAAATATTTTCAAAACCATTGAGAATATGCTTACTTTTGCACAGTATTATTCTATGTGTTTACATAATTGATTAAACTTTATATTTACTGCTTGTTAAAAAAAAAACAACAAAACACTGGGTTCATGAAGTGAGGGAGGGAGAAGTGAGAGACACTGGCAAGGGCCAGACCTCATGTTGTCTTGAAGGCTCTGGAAAGGAGTTTGGATATTATTCTAAATGTAATAAAGGCCGGCCCCATGGCTTAGAGGTTAAGTGCGCGCGCTCCAATGCTAGCGGCCCGAGTTCGGATCCCAGGCACACACAGACGCACCGCTTCTCCGGTCATGCTGAGGCCTCATCCCACGTACAGCAACTAGAAGGATGTGCATCTATGACATACAACTATCTACTGGGGCTTTGGGGGAAAAAAATAAATAAATAAAAATTAAAAAAAAAAATGTAATAGGCCACTGGAGGGATTTAAGCAGAGGTAATCATATTTTCTCTGGCAGCCATATGAAGAACAGATTGTCAGGGAGGCAAGATTGGAAGCAGGGAGACATGTGACAAGGTACTTGCCTTTCTCCAGAGATGACAAGACAGAGAGTGGGCAGGGCAGTGGGGGTGAGGAGAAAGCCATGCATTCCAGATGTGTCTTGAGTGTAGATTAAGTGTAGATTAGAGGTGATTTTCTGTACTGGAAGGTAGAATTTTATCCATCATAATATTCAATGTTTTGTGCATAAAGAAATTATATCAATTTGACCCCTCACTAACATTTTTTTAGTAAAGTAGTTCTTGAGACAGGAGTAGAACCATATCAATAACTGTATGACGATGACAATACATAACAGATATAATGATCTTTTGCTGTACTGTACACATTTAATAAACATTTAAACATTTAACAAAATATGTATTCATGTTTTTACTGTGGTATAAATGATTCACCCATATGAAGGCACATTTTTCCCCATGGGCTACACATACTAGAGAATGCATTTCTGAATTTGAAGGGGTTCAAGCTGTGGAGACCCCAGCTTCCCAGACCAAGAGAAATGGGAGTTTCTTCTGCTATGGCTCTGAAAAGCCCACACAAATAACAAAGGATCGCATTGGTTATAAACAGAAATGCAATGGTAATGTTTGGGTGTTGGGACCAGAAAAATAGCTCTTTTTTCCCATTGTCCTGTATTTTTCTAAAACATTTTGAGTCCGTTTTATAATAAAGAACAAACAAAAAAAAGGTAACAGTTAATTTGGAGTGTTATTTTTTTCTTTCACGTTTTTAAATAGCTTGATTTTGTTTTTATATCAAATAATTAGAAGTAATATATACTAGTCTTCGATTTCATACCCGTGGTCTGTAATCAGGAGAGAAAAAAATGAGGGAGAGTCAGGAGGAAGGGTGAAGAAGGGCAAGAAGTGGGAAGGGGGAACTCAGCAAAGGAGGGCTAGCTTGCAGGTAATTCCCTTAGACGACTGACTGCCTGGCCTCCTCCCTGGTTTTCCACAGCCTCTCTTGCCCTTTAGAACATTTTCCCCACAGAAGTCAACGGAATGGGGAGGTGTCTTCTTACAATACAAATCCCGTCCATCCTCTCGTTCAACACCCTTCAATAGCCCCCAGTCGCCTGCAGAATAAAATACCAAATCTTTTAACTTGACTCAGTTTAGTATCTTTCCGCGCTTTTGCCGCCCCCTTCCAGGCTCTTTATGGGCGGAGCCTAGCTCTTTGCTGCCTCCGGAGCTTTACAGGCCGGTTCCCGGGGGCAAGAATCGGCTACTTCCTCCCTACCCAACATTTTCGTACTTTCTTCTTCCTGAGCTTCCACCTCCCATTTTCAAATCCTCTGTCCTGTTCATTCCTTTGGAACGTTTATTTCTGTAATGAGACATTCATTCGCGTGCAATCACATCTATTATCCAAAAGTCAGACCTTCATCCCTCTAGGTAGTCAGGCCAGGTCGGTCTGGCTCCTTACGATTCCCAACTCCCTGCACTGTGCCCGGCACACAGTAGGCGCCTACTGGTGACTACGTATGTTTAGGTCAATAAATGAGTCAACGCAAGCAGCAGCTGAGTCGGGGCAGCGTCCCCAACGCAGAGCAAGGGGCTCCTGAGGTCTTTCAGCGCGTAAGGCCGGGATTCCCCACCCCACTCCCGCAGGAACGCCGTCACCTCACAGTCCCAAAGGGTTGGGAGACGGCTTCCGCCAGGCAGCACAACCTCGCCCAGATCCTGGTCAGCAGTAACCCGACCTTTCCCTTGGGGGGCGCTCCACGCCGCAGCCGCCCAGTTCAGCGCAGGGCATTGCGGGACTTGTAGTTTCCGTAGGCACATGCCCAGGGCGCTTGCGCAGTGGAGTGGCGCGCGCCACCTGATACCCGTCAGGATTTCGGGTCCTTCTGAAGGACGGTACGGGTGACAGCGTTCCAACCGATTATGCCTTTGTACTTCGCCCAGGATGACCCAGATGGGGAGAAGAATCTGCTCTGCGTTGGCAGTCGCGATGCACTGGAAAGCTGCCGGAATAAGCCCGCCCCCGCTCCGGAAGTGAGCGGCTTCTGGCGCGGTGCATTGTGGGGGGCGTAGTCCTCCTTTCCAGGCGGTCCTTCGCGGCGTCCCCGGGGCCGACTCCGGAGCGCAGGCGGGCGGCTGGGCGGGCGGCGCGGCGCGGGCCGGCGGGAAGCGTATTCTGGGCACGGGGCGCCGGGCCACGCCGGCCGCGCAGAGCAGCAGTAGTGGGAGGCCGCTGAAGGCCTCGCGCGGCGCCGCCCGTCGAGGGGCGGGCGGCGGCAGACCGACTGGGCCGTCGAAGGGCTCAGGAGGCCGGTGGGCCGGGCCGGGCCGCGCGGCGCAGCCATGCCTGGCTTTACGTGCTGCGTGCCGGGCTGCTACAATAACTCGCACCGGGACAAGGCGCTGCACTTCTACACGTTTCCCAAGGATGCTGAGCTGCGGCGCCTCTGGCTCAAGAACGTGTCCCGTGCTGGCGTCAGTGGGTGCTTCTCCACCTTCCAGCCCACCACGGGCCACCGTCTCTGCAGCGTCCACTTCCAGGGCGGCCGCAAGACCTATACGGTGCGCGTCCCCACCATCTTCCCGCTGCGCGGCGTCAACGAGCGCAAAGTAGCACGCAGACCCGCGGGGGCCGCAGCCGCCCGCCGCAGGCAGCAGCAGCAGCAACAGCAGCAGCAGCAGCAGCAGCAGCAGCAACAGCAGCAACAGCCCTCGCCGTCCGCCTCTACTGCCCAGAGCGCCCAGCTGCAGCCGAACCTGGTGTCCGCCTCTGCGGCTGTGCTCCTAACCCTTCAGGCCGCTGTAGACAGTAGCCAGCCTCCAGGATCCGTGCCGCCGGCGCCCACCACTCCCACCGGAGAAGACGTGAAACCCATCGACCTGACGGTGCAAGTGGAGTTCGCGGCCGCAGAGGGCGCAGCCGCCGCAGCCGCCGCGTCAGAGCTGGAGGCTGCTACGGCAGGGCTGGAGGCTGCCGAATGCCCTATGGGCCCCCAGTTGGTGGTGGTGGGGGAAGAGGGCTTCCCTGATACTGGTTCCGACCACTCATACTCGTTGTCGTCAGGCACCACGGAGGAGGAGCTCCTGCGCAAGCTGAACGAGCAGCGGGACATCCTGGCGCTGATGGAGGTGAAGATGAAGGAGATGAAGGGCAGCATCCGCCACCTGCGTCTCACTGAGGCCAAGCTACGCGAGGAACTCCGCGAGAAGGATCGGCTGCTGGCCATGGCTGTCATTCGCAAGAAGCACGGAATGTGAATGGGTGCCCCTGCGGCCTGCGGGACTCCCGGACCCTTGCCAGCCTAGGGAGATCTCAGGCCGCCACTGTTGAACTGCCCCATACTCCTGGGGCATTGGTTGATAGTACTGAGTCTTAGGGCAGCTGGACTCTTTTGCTGGTGATCCTCTCCTGTTTCCTCCTGAAGCGAGGTCCTGAAGTCTGGGACCTTAGACTCTGCACTGGTGACACCAGCAATTATGACTTTGTCTACCCCCCCAACCTCACCCCCAGTTTATCTTGCAGGTTCTGGTTAAGCAGAGGCTTAAGAACCAGTGAACTTGAAACTTACTCCCTAGGGATGCAGGTGGGATGCCCAAGGACTATGGGTTTGGGAAGACAACACCTTGAGGTTGGCGAGCAATCAGAGACAACTCTTCCATATGTAGTGATAAGAGATCCAAGTAACATCAGTTCTCCTTTTCATGCTTTTCCTTCCCAGGTGCAGCCTGTGATTCTGATGGGGACTGGCAGATCTATCTCTCTGCCTCCCAGGACCTCCCTCCCCAGGAGGCCATCTACAGGGGGATCTAGGTAACCTGCTGATGGAGATCCAGCTTGCCAGGGACTTAGGTTTATCCTGTTATGTTTGCTACTGGTTACAAATTCTATTTTCTGTACAATTAGTCAGACTAAAGTTTTCACTGTGTTTGTTTGGCAAAACGAATTAAACAGAAAGTAAGGTTTTTATTTGGGTTTCGCCATTTTATTTTTATAAGGATTCAGCTAAGTGTCCCTGAAATGTGGGGAAATAGGGCCTTGGCCTTAGGTCTCAAGGACCAGGCTGACCCTGAGAGTAGAGATGCTTCAGTGACCAGGTTTCTCCATAAAGGGGCCCTAAGCAAATGGAACCTGGCCTCATAAGGTCCTCACAGAGTTCCTGGACCAGCTCACCCCAAAGACTTTGGAAACCACCAAATGGTCCCAGTTTGTCCATGGGTTAGCTCTCTGTGTCTTTTCAACAGGGAGAAGGAGCAACTGAGAACTAAACAATTGTGTCAGCCCACCTCTCTGAAGGTTTTGAATTCCTCATGAATTTTCAGCTGGGGTTGAATTTTGCTCACCATTATAGCCTTTAAGCCTTAGTACAGCATCTGGCATACATGGGCATGCAGTTACATCAGTGAAGACCACAGCTGGAGCCAGCCATGGCTCCTGAAGGCACAAGGACTCTTATACAGATACCTTTTTTGGCCTTAGTACACTTTCAGTGTGAAGGAGCTGGATCCATAGAAGGCTTTAAGGAATAGGAGTTGGGATTTGAGACTCCTTGGCTCATTTTTTGGCTATTTCCATCTTTCTTTAGATTGGATATTGTAGAATGAGGTGAAATTTTTACCTATAGCTCCAACTAATTCAGCTAAAAGCCAATGGGGGAGGGCCGGCCCGGTGGCTTAGCGGTTAAGTGTGCGCGCTCCGCTACTGGCGGCCCGGGTTGGGATCCCGGGCATGCACCGATGCGCTGCTTCTCTGGCCATGCTGAGGCTGTGTCCCACATACAACAACCAGAAGGATGTGCAACTATGACATACAACTATCTGCTGGGGCTTTGGGGAGGAAAAAAAAAAGGAGGGGGATTGGCAATAGATGTCAGCTCAGAGCTGGTCTTCCTCAGCAAAAAGAGGAGGGTTAGCATGGATGTTAGCTCAGGGCTGATCTCACACACACACAAAAAAGCTAATGGGGAGAGGCAAATGCCTTTAAAGCTAGCCCTGTTTACTATGGCTGTTGGGGCAAATTGGACACTTCTTGGGCTTCATAAAACATGACTCCCTTCTCTGTTACTTATGGAAAAAGCCGCTTGCCTGGGGACTTTCCCTGTGGCTGCGAAATGGAATGACTCTAAAATGTTCCTCTAATCTCTGCTCTCCTCCTAGCCCCTTGGCACTGACTTGAGAAACAAACAAGTCTCTGGTGGGGAGGAGGGGTGGAGCACAGGTTGTGCAGGTGTCTGGTTGGAGAAGGGACTAGACCTCTGGGGAAGGGACTGGATGTCTGCCTTCCTAGGGTTAGTTCTAGCTAGTCATAAGGTGGTGGAAGCACAGCAGTGCCCTTCCAGGCCAGCTGGGACTGAAGTCCTTTGCAGGCAGCTATTGGGCCAGTCTTTACATGTCCCCACTCTCCTTCACTAGGAGTGAGGGCTTTCCTAGGCTCGGGCCATGCTCTTGAGAGTATCCTATAGCTCCTGTTTGTTGAAGGGACTTACACTGTTTTTGCTTTGGCTCACTTGACCTCTTAGCAGCACTCTCAGGACAGGGTGACGGCCAGGCTCTGGCCAGGATTGTCTGGTATCTGGAAGTTATGCGCACACAACCTATCCAGTGTTTTAGCTTCTTGCGGGGAGGAGGACAGTTCAGAGCAAGGAAGGTTTCAGATGCACCACAAGCAGGGCAATGCAGAGTTCTCGTTCGCTGAGTAATAAGAGAGGCATCTAGTCAGGCAAAGTAGTACAGACCTGGGATAATCAGAAACTTGGCCTGGTCTTACCAGCCATCCCCAGGAGATGGGGTGATGCGGGGGGAGGGTCGATGAAGGTGCAGAATTCTTCTAGAAGAACAGGAGTACTGAGAGATCTCTGGCCAGAAGGGAAGGCATGGAGCTGCCAGACTTGTAGCTATTTCCCTTACCTTTGGTCCCCCCTGGGTTAGCTGTAGAGCATTTCCCCAACAGGCCTGACCTAGAGACAGGCTTCCGAATGTTTGTGTTGCCCAGGAAACGACGAAAATGGGCGTTGAAAGGAAAGGGCAACGGGTGGGAGGGAGATTATTGACAATCTAATCACTTAAATCATGGGGAAACTTTGGGTGAGCGTTTTTTTCTTTCCCCATTAATAAAAATGAAACTCTTAGCTGCCCCGCCTGCTGCAAAAAAAACTATGGGAATGTTTTGGAGACCCCAACTGTACAGTGTAAGAGTAATCTTGTCTCCAGCCGAGCCCCACTTGAGGAGTATTTGAGTCTCCTGCCCAAGGAAAGCCTCGCCTGCTCGAAACCGGTTTTGGGCCCGACTGGCATCGGCACGGCGCACAAATGTCGGGACAGCAGAAGCTCTGGGTTCCGCCCCAGCTGGCCTTAGAGCACAGATCTGAAGACCCGAAGGGGCTGCCAGAGCACCAAAAGGGAGGGGGGTTCTCGAGCGGAAACAGCCCAGGGGCCCAGGGAGGGGTGGCTGGCCCAGCTTAGGGCCAGGCTGGGCTCCCACGGAGGCGGGGCCAACCCCAAACGGCTGCGCAGCCTGGGCGGGGTCAGACTAGCCGGGACCTGGCGACAACTGAGCCCTGACCCTCGTCTAGCGCCAACCTCCGGTGTTCCAGAGGCTTCCGCTAGACCACAATTCTCAGGGGCTCGCCCCAGCAGCCTTCCTCCCTTGGTTTAGCCTCACCTCCCGCGCTGCGGACCGTGCCTGGGCCTTGGCGCATAGTACGCCGGGAACTGTAGTTTTCTCCTGGCGCACCGTTCCAGAAAGGAGCTCGAGGGGACTGCGTTTCCCAGAGTGCAGCGGGGTGGCGAGGGAAGGCAGGGGGGAAGGGACAGTCGGTCGCAGACCGCGCTGGGTTGCCGCCGCCGCTGCCGCCATCGTGCCAGCCCCTCGGGTGAGTGTCGAGGCTAGCGCGCCGGGGCTGGGGCCGGGCCGCAGGAGCCCCGCTCCGGGCTGCCTGGAGCCTTCGCTGCGACTTCCCGGGCCGCCCCTCCTTCCCACCCCCCCATCTCCCCCGGCGGCCCGAAGCCGCGCGGGGCCGGGGCCATGTGTCGCGCGCGGCTCCGCCTCCCGCCGGTCCTGTGAGGCGGCGGCTAAGGGAAACTCTGAAAGAGACAGCCAGGCGCCTGTGCCGGCTGTACTGTGCCCCTAGCGGGTGCACCGGCCTGCGCTGGGCTGGGCCTTTTTCTCTGGTCTGGACCACCCGGATGGGGCTCTTCGGGCCCCGCCCCGTCTGGCCTAGTCCGGCCTGCCCGAATCCCGCAAGCTCTGCAGGCGGCTAGGGGGCGGACCCCAGCCCCACGTCCTGCCACCTGCCTGCAAAGGATCCGGGGATGGGCAAGCGCCACCCAGCCCGCTCCGGAGTCAGCATTGGGTAAGGGCGCTCGCCTGCCGCAGCTCGGGCTTAGGACCGTCACCCGGTTCCCGACCGTAGCTCGGCTAGGATGTAGGTGAACGTTCTGCTTGTTTGCCCGCTGGGAGTGCACGAAACTCCCCCCACACACACACACTCTATGGAACTCGTGCGTAGGTTCTCCTGCGTGGAGGGCAGGGTCAGGGAATCTCTGGCGGGAGGGGGTTCCACGTGAGACTTCACTCCTGGCCAGCCTTGGAGGATCTGGCTTGATGCGATGAGGCGGCTCCAGGCTGGTAGGCTCAGCCTCCGCTCCTGTATCAGTGACCAGGTCCTAGCTGTGGGCAGGTTGGCCAAATCGTGTTAGTGGAGGAAGGGAAAAAGGAAGCCAAGGAAGTGAGGTTGGATGTGTGAGCCCCCAACACATTACTGGATCTCTTCGATACAGCCTAATCCTCTCATCTGCCCCTCCCAGAGTCATCTGCCCTTCTCTCACAGAGGAGGGTGATTTCATAAGAGTGATGGTGATAAGGTGGGATTTAATGCAGAGGTAAGTAGAATCCAGGGCTGAGATCCATGAGCCCAGTGCCAAAGGAGAGGCTCTGCTGGAAGGGACGTTGGGAGAGGGGCACATTTGGGCTGTGGGGCTCAGATGGACTCTGTGGGGCCCTTCTGAAGCCTGGGTGGTAGAACTAGAGCTGAAAGCTGCAGCAAGTCAGGCCTCCCTTGCTTGCTGACTTCTCAACAGCTGGAGTGGCCCATGGACAGGCAGGAAGCTGCTGGTTGGGCCTTGGGAAATTGCCCTTATTGATGGTTCCAGGGACCCCAGTGAGTTCTGGGAGAAGAGTAGCTAGCCATAGAGTAGCCTTCTGGGGCCCGCCTGGTGGTGCAGGCGGTTAAGTGACCGCACTCCACTTCAGCGGCCCGGGGTTCACAGGTTCAGATCCCGGGCCTGCACCAACACACTGCTTGTCAAACCATGCTGTGGCGGCATCCCATATAAAGTGGAGGAAGATGGGCACGGATGGTAGCTCAGGGCCAATCTTCCTCAGCGAAAAAAGAGGAGGATTGATATTGGATGTTAGCTCATGGCTTATCTTTCTCACACACACAAAAAAGAGTAGTCTTCTGACAGGCTTTGTAAAGGCACTTCTGATTGAGTGATGATAAATTAAGGGACCAGTCCAGAGAAAACCATGGGGTTTTGGAAAGAGACAGCTTGTCAAGCCTTGATTCCTCTGACCCATAGTGGCTTCTGAGCCACAGTTCTTGCAGGGACTAAAGAAGCAGCTAAGTTTTTGCAGACCTGGCCTCAGCAGCAAGCAGGTCTCTTAGGAGAGTTGAGTTAGGCCTATGATACAGAAAGCCACCACCTCAACTATTTTTTTTTCCCTGAGTATTTCCCCAGGTGATGTTTTTCTGGTCATTGGGCTCTAGCCTTGGAAGTTTTCCTGCAGTTAAATTGCTCTGTCTAGCATTCTGCCTGGTTAACGAGGACAGGCAAGGATCTGTCCAGATTGCCTCATCAGGACCTGCCTTCTCTCTGAACTCAATCCTCTTGGTCCACATCCTGGCCCAAGAGCACATGGCAGTCAGGTTCATTCAGCAGGCTCAAGAGAGGCCTGATTTGCCAGTCGAAGTGGGCAACAGAGGGACTACCCACAGGACACACATTGGATCGGCGTGGTGGAATCTCTTAGTGCTAGAAGCAGTTTTTTTTTTTTTTTTTAAAGTTCATGCTTTTTTCTTTTTTTTTTTTAATTTTTATTTATTTTTTCCCCCAAAGCCCCAGTAGATAGTTGTATGTCATAGTTGCACATCCTTCTAGTTGCTGTATGTGGGACACGGCCTCAGCATGGCCGGAGAAGCGGTGCGTCGGGGTGCGCCCGGGGATCCAAACCCGGGCCGCCAGCGGCGGAGCGCGCACACCTAACCACTAAGCCACGGGGCCGGCCCTAGAAGCAGTTGTTTTAAGACCCTCTCTAGATTGTCTGTATTGATTCTTTCTAGGACACTGGTTTCTGGTGAGCTGGGCTTATGGTTATGGATTAGTTTGCACATTCCAAGGCCTTAGGTGGCTTCACTACAACGATTTCCTTCAAAGTCAAAAAGATACTGTTCATTCTTTTTTTTTTTTAAATAATTTTATTTATTCATTTATTTTTTCCCCCAAAGCCCCAGTAGATAGCTGTATGTCAGTTGCACATCCTTCTAGTTGCTGCATGTGGGACGCGGCCTCAGCATGGCCAGAGAAGCGGTGCGTCGGTGCGCGCCTGGGATCCGAACCCAGGCCGCCAGCAGCGGAGCACGCACACTCAACCGCTAAGCCATGGGGCCGGCCCGATACTGTTCATTTTTGAAGGTTACCTAGGAGTAGGAGGAATTCAGGTCCCTTCTTCTTCCAATCTTCTACAAGTTCCCTGTAAGTTCTGTGTCTGGTGTCATTGCTAGGCATCGTGAACTCCAGAAGTCTGACCTTTCTGGAACTTGGCAGGCCATCTGAGTCTTAGAGATAAGAGGTGAACCCCGAGGTTCTCCAGAGTCTGTCTGCACCCTCTATTCGTGTAGGGTTGTCTTGGGAAGTGGAGCCTGGCAGGGGGCACTGGGAATGTGGCTGCATAAGCATGGGGGCAGGGCGTGAGGATCCCTGAGTTCTCAACCAGCTCAAAACTAGGTGCCTTATTGCCATGGAGCCCAGCTCCCCTCTCTGAGCCGCGTCTCACTTTATTCTGCTGTCTTTGCTGTTGATGGGTTGGTATGGGATGAATGATTTGAGAGAGATGGAATTCTCAAATTTTAGAACTAGAAGTCACCTTATATTAAAAAATTCTAGGATTCCCTTACTGAGGCATTAGTATCTCGCCTGAAATTATTTTTTTCTCCTTTCTCACCAACAATCAGTTTTATTCAGCAGCCATTGTTTGGGCCCTTTCTGTGTATCAGGCTCTGGGCTGAGACTGGAGGTAGAAAAATGAATCCTATCAAGTCCTGGTGCTGGGGAAAGGCGGTAACAGTAGTGGGGGATATAGGGGTAATGTTGCTGTTATGTGCTGAGGGCTAAGTTGAAGAGACCTATAGGGGCTCTTGGTCCTGCACAGAAAAGGGGGCTTCTGAATGATTAGACCACCTAGGAGGAAAGGCTGTTAGTGAGCACACTCTCCTCTCTGGTGTCCGGCAGGAACCACAGAGTAAGATGTACCTCTGGATAGTGGGCCCAGGAAGGTCTGGGGTCCCTTGAGCGAGGCTGTCACCACTTCAAATTGCTATGGCTGTAGAGTCTAGCTGCTGTTTTCTACAGCCTGCTCTTCTGTCCCCCAAGGTTCTCTGCTGAGTGTTCTCCCAGTGCCTGGGAATCTCACCAGCATTATGTGGTCTGTGGCCTTCCCATTCCTTGCCTGGAGCCTGGGTTTGTGGCTTCTGTCCCTTTGACTGAGACCCTCTCAGATCACTTTTATTTAAGTGCCCAGTGCTCCTGGAGTGGCACCTATTGGGACATCTTCCCAGAGTGAGACACAGAGGCACTCTCTCCAGAGATGAAAGGAAATAGTCCTTTTGGAGAGAGGGGAGTGGATCTAAAAAGTTTTCCACAGGATGGACTTTGAAAGTTGGGCAGGATTTCTATGGGCTGGCATTGAGCTGAACCTCCTGGTGAGTTTTTGTTGTTTTTTTTTTAAGTTAATTTTTTCTTTTTTCTTTTTTTTTTTTTTGTGAGGGAGATCAGCCCTGAGCTAACATCCATGCTAATCCTCTTCTTTTTGCTGAGGAAGACCAGCTCTGAGCTAACATCTATTGCCAATCCTCCTCCTTTTTTTTTTTTTTTTACCCCCAAAGCCCCCAGTAGATAGTTGTATGTCATAGTGGCACATCCTTCTAGTTGCTGTATGTGGGACACGGCCTCAGCATGGCCGGAGAAGCGGTGCGTCAGTGCGCGCCCGGATCCGAACCCGGGCCGCCAGCAGCAGAGCGCACACACTTAACCGCTAAGCCATGGGGCCGGCCTGGAGTTGGATTTGGGTTGGCTACCCCTTACCCAGCTCTGATGATTCTCTAGCTTTGACCATATGTGGCAGAAATTCTTCTTTTTTGATGAGGAAGAGTGGCCCTGAGCTAACATCTGTGGCCATCTTCCTCTATTTTGTATGTGGTTCGCCGCCACGGCATGGCTTGATGAGTGGTGTAGGTCCATGCCCAGGATCTGAACCCATAAACCCCAGGCCGCCAAAGCAGAGCGTGCCGAACTTAAAGATTATGCCACCAGGCCAGCCAGTGGCAGAAATTCTTGACTTCCTCCCTGAGAGAGGCAGCATGTGGGTTATCCCTGAAGTGACTTCCAGGCCTATGTGATATGATCATTCTGGTCAGCACCCCAACCACCAAGTCTTGGTAGCACCTTCCCCCTTCTCACTCTATCAGCTGGAATATGTCTTTCTAGAAAGAATCCTTTGTTTAGGTCTTGATGTGACTGGGGAAGTGTCTTAGTGGCTAGGGAGGAGAGATGCAAGAGGTCTGGGGTGGCCCTGCTCACTGGCCCCAGGGCTCCCACCTCAGGCTGACCTGCTGTGGCTGAGAACTTCCTCTCACTGCCCTGGGCCTTACTTCTTATTCGTTATTGGTGCCTGCTGTGTGCCAACTCCCTAAGCCCCCAGGCTGGAGAGGGGGCTACCCTGGAGAAGGAGAACTCCCCTCATGAGAGGGGTGTGTTCAGAGTACCTGGGAACTGAGGAACTGAGGGCTGTTTGCCTCAATAAACTGGGGGAATTCTTTTTTTTTTTTTTAATTTTTATTTATTTATTTTTCCCCCAAAGCCCCAGTAGACAGCTGCATGTCACAGCTGCACAGCCCTCCAGCTGCTGCATGTGGGACGCGGCCTCAGCACGGCTGGAGAAGCAGTGTGTCGGTGCGCGCCCGGGATCCAAACCCGGGCCGCCAGCAGCGGAGCGCACGCACTCAACCGCTAAGCCACGGGGCCGGCCCATAAACTGGGGGAATTCTGAAGTGTTTGTTTCTTAAAGCCTCAGATA